GCTTACAGCTCCCAAAGCTCCAGTGGGTGTGTGTTACAGAGGGCTGTTACAGTGGGCTCTTCCAGTTTTGCTGTCTGCAGGTGGCTTATGTTAATCAGCTCAATTAGACCCTCTGCCTTATGGCAAGGACAGAGGGCTTTCTGTATCCCAGATTCTTGCCCTAGTATACCAGAAAAATCAGATGACAAGTGGGCTTGGAGGATGGGTGCACAGTTTTATTGAGTGGTGGAGGTAGCCCTCAGTGAGGTGGATGGGGAACAAAAGGTGAGGTGGAGTGGGAAGGTGGCCTTTCCCTGGAGTCCAGCCCCAAATGAATTCTGCATCGTCCCACCTTGATGGCCTGCCTGTGTCTGCTGGTGTCTGTCAGTGTGCTCTTCTGCTCCTTTTGATGTTCAGCCACTTGTGTGTGTCATGCCCGCTAAGGTCTCTCAGGTTTATATGGGCACAGGATGGGGGCATGGCAGGCCAGAGTGGTCTTGGAAAATACAACATTTGGGAGCAAAACAGTAGTGCCTGTTCTCACATAGGTTCACAGGCAAAGGCCTGAGGGTGAAGCCCTTGCCAGGGACACCACCCTTCTCTACCCAACATTTCTCTGTCCCCCACCGCCCACCATATCAACCTCAGGCTGGGAAAGCAGCAAAGATCTGAATGCTTTAACTACACCTTGAACAAACTGCAGCTGCCCTAAGGAGAAGAGGCTAGTCTGTCTCCCCCATGAGCCCTCCATCCCCCCTGCTCATCACCAGGCAGTGCCCCCCAAGCTTGGGCCCATAATACAGCCACCTCACACCAGGCTGACTGCACTGTCAGCAGCTCTGCATTTCTCTAGGGTAGAGCCCCAAGAGACAAGTGAAAGGTCCTCAGCCACAGTCACTGACCTTGGCAAGTTTCCTTCCCCTGTTGTCTCCAAGCAAGGTAAGGAACATAAAGCCTGAGCTTGCCCCAGGGCTGTGGTGTGCAGCCTGGGAGTACCAAGAAATGACATGTAGCCAGCACTCAAGTGGGAGAGGAGCCCACTTTCAGAACACTAAGAGACTACAGTTGAGAAGAAATAGAGGTGCCACATTGCTGAGCAAAGCCTGCCTACTGCTCATTATGCTTAAGTGGCATCTACTGGATCACAACCCAAAAATATTTTTCAACATCAAAATCATTTTGCTAATATATCTACCTCTCTGTGAAACCAAGGACAAGAACTCAGCTACAAATAAATGTCCTGCATGAAGTCTCAGTCCTCTGAAAACATCCAGAAAGGAAGTCAACTGACTATACTCAAATTACACCACAGTTGATGGAAAATCAGCCCACACAGACCCAGCACAACAACTCTGGCAACTCAAAAATCCAGAGTGTCTCCTTTCCCACAAAAAATCACACTAGTTCCCCAGCAAGAATTCTTAACCAGACTGAAATAGCAGAAATATAATTCAGAATCTAGATAGAAATGAAGATCATGAAGATTCAGGAGAAAGTGGAAACCCAATACAAGGAATCTAAGGATTATAATAAAATGATACAAGAACTGATAGATGAAATGGCCATTATAAGAAATACTCAGCTGGGTGTGGTGACTCATGCCTGTAATCCCAGCACTTTGGGAGGCCAAGGCAGATGGATCATGAGGTCATGAGATTGACCATCCTGGCCAAGATGGTGAAAGCCCATCTACTAAAAATACAAAAATTAGCCAGGCATGGTGCTGTGCACCTGTAGTCCCAGCTACTCAGGAAGCTGAGGCAGGAGAATCGCTAGAACCAGAGAGGCGGAGGTTGCAGTGAACCAAGATTGTGTCACTGCACTTCAACCTGGGCAACAGAGAGAGACTCCGTCTCAAAAAAAAAAAAAGAAGACTCAAACTGATCTGATAGAGTGGAAGACACACTACAAGAATTTCATAATGTAATTGTAAGTATCAACAAAATAATAGACCAAGTTCAGGAAAGAATCTGAGAGCTCAATGACTGGTTCTCTGAACTAACTTGGTCAGAGAAAAAAAATGAACAAAACACTAAAAAAATAAGGGATTATGTAAAGAGACCAAATCTACAATTCATTGGTGTCCCTGAAAGAGATAAGGAGAGAGCAAGCAACTTGGAAAATATATTTCAAAATATCATCCATGAAAACATCCCCAGCCTCACTAGAGAGGCCAAAATACAAATTCAGTACCAATGTGAGGTACTACACAAAAGACCATGGCCAAGACACATAATCTTCAGATTCTCCAAGGCTAAAATAAAAGAGAAAAAGTGAAAGGCAGCTGGAGAGAAGAAGCAAGTCACCTACAAAGGAAACCCCATTAGGCTAACAGAGGACCTTTCAATAGAAACCTTACAAGCCAGGAGAAATTAGGGGTCTATATTCAGCCTTTTTAAATAAAACAATTTCCAAGCAAGAATTTCATATCCAGCCAAACTGAGCTTCATAAGCCTCATAGAAATTAGATCCTTTCCAGATAAGCAAATGCTAAGGGAATTCATGACCACCAGACCTGCCTTACTGCCTTTCCTGTCCTGAAAGGAGTACTAAATATGGAAAGCGAAGACTGTTACAAGCTACTACAAAAACACACTTAGGTATAAAAACTATTGATCCTATAAAGCAACCACATGAACAAGTCTGCACAATAGCCAGCTAGAAACATGATGAAAGCATCAAATCCACACATACCAATATTAAACTTGAATGTAAATGGGCTAAATTCTCCAATTAAAAGTCACGGAGTGGCAAGCTGTATAAAGAAGCAGGACTGAATGGTATGCTGTCTTCAAGAGGCCCATCTCACATGTAATGACACCCATAGGCTCAATGTAAAGGGATAAAGGAAAATCTAACAAGCAAATGGAAAACAGAAAAAAGCAGGGGTTGCTATTCTAATTTCAGACAAAGCATACTTTAAACCAACAAAGATCAAAAAAGACATGGAAGGACATTACATAATGGTAAAGGGTTCAATTCAACAAGAATACCTAACTTTCCTAAATATATATGCACCCAACACAGGAGCACTCAGATTCATAAAGCAAGTTCTCAGAGACCTACGAAGAGACTTAGATTCCCAACAATAATAGTGGGAGACTTCAACACCCTACTGACGGTTTTTAGATAGACCATCCAGTCAGAAAATTAACAAAGATTTCCAGGATCTAAACTTAACACATGACCAAATGGAACTATTAGACGTCTACAAAATGCTCTACCCATAAGGAACAGAATATACTGTCTTCTCATCTGCACATAGCACATGCTCTAAAATCAACCACACAATTGGACATAAAACAATCCTCAGAAAATCTAAAAAAAATGAAACCAGACCAACCACACTCTCAGGCCATAATGCAATAAAAATAAAAATAAATACTAAGAAAATCACTCAAAACCATAGAATTGGATGGAAATTAAACAACCTGGTCCTAACCTTTGGGTAAACAATGAAATTATGGCAGACATCAGGAAATTCTCTGAAACTACTGAGAACCAAGAAAACATATCAGAATCTCTAAGACACAGCTAAAGTAGTGCTAAGAGGAAAGTTTATAGTGCTAAAGGTCCACATCAAAAATTCATAAAATCTCAAATTAGCAACCAAACATTACACCTAGAGAAACTAGAGAAACAATATAAAACAAACCCAAAGCTAGCAAAAGACAAGAAATAACTAAAATCAGAGCTGAAATGAAGGAAACTAAGATGCAAAAAAAAAAACATACAAAAGATCAATGAGTACAAGAGTTGATTTTTTGACATAAGAAATATGATAGACCACTAGCTAAGCTAATAAAGAGAAGAAGAGAGAAGATCCATATAAACAATCATAAGCGCCAAAAAAGACATTACCACCAGCCCCACAGAAATATAAAAAACCCTCAGAGACTGCTATGAACACCTCTATGCACACAGACTAGAAAACCTAAAAGAAATGAATATATTCCTGGAAACATACAAACTCCCAAGATTGAGCTAGGGAGAAATTGAATCCCTGGACAGATCAATAAAGAGTTCCAAAATTAAATCAGTAATAAAAAGCCTACCAACCATAAAGGACCCAGGACAAGAATGATTCACAGCCAAATTCCACCAGATGCATAAAGAATAGCTCGTACCATTCTAACTGAAACTACTCTAAAAAACTGAGGAGGAGGAACTCCTCTCTGACTCATCCTATGAGGCCAGCTTCATCCTGATACCAAAACCTGCAGAAATACAACAAAAAAATCTTCAGGCCAATATCCTTGATGAACACAGATGTAAAAATTCTCAACAAAATACTAGCAAACTGAATCCTGCAGCACATGAAAAAGTTAATCACACTCAAGCAGGCTTTATCCTGGGATGCAAGGTTGGTTTAATAATCACAAATAAATAAATGTGATTTACTATATAAACAGAATTGAAAACAAAAACCACATGACTATCTCAATAGATGCAGAAAAGGCTTCTGGTACAATTTGATGTCCTTCATGTCAAAAACCCTCAACGAACTAGACATTGAAGGAACATATTTCAAAATAACAAGAGCCATCTATGACAAACCCATAGCCAACATCATACTGAATGGGCAAAAGCTGGAAGCATTCCCCTTGAAAACCAAAACAAGACAAGGATACCATCTCTCACCATTCCTAGTTAACATAGTACTGGAAGTCCTAGGCAGAGCAATCATGCAAGAGAAAGAAATAAAAAGCTTGTAAATATTAATAGGAAGAAAGGAAGTCAAACTATCTCTCTTTGAAGATAATATGATTCTATACATAGAAAATCCCATAATTACAGCCCAAAAGTTCCTTAAGCTAATAAACATTGCATTAGTAGGTGACTGGATCTATATCAATTATGCATTTTCTACAAAAAAGAAACCACTATGAAAGTAAGCATAAACATTAAATTATTTCTAGCTGTTGAGATTATGAGGGAAAAAACCTGTCAAGTTAACAGAAACTTCCTCAGGAAATAATTTTGTTGTACATTAAGAAATTGTTTAATCCATAGGTTCTTACCGTTCTCGGTTAAATTTAAGAGAATGGAGAATGGCTGGCCTTTTTTGTCTAAGGTTCCACAAATGAAGTGTATCATCTGAACTTGCACTGACCAAGGCACCCTAGAACAAAAAAAAGATAAAGTAAGTGTGTGATTTACTTAATTAAGGGTTTTTGTGAAGCACAAACAAGCTAATTTACTCAATTTTTTTACTACCTGAAGAGTTACTTGCGTCTATATAACCCAGAAATATCAGGAAGGATAGGTGCATAAACTTCAATCAGGAAGGGTAAGAATGCTGAAAGTAGAAGAGGCAACTGACCCACTGCATTTCGACTGTCAGAAAGACTAGCTTAAGGAATATTTATTTACCAATAGAGAGGATTAATTATTATAGCATCATTATGATCATTAAAGGTTTTTCTTTGGGAAAAAATAGTTTAGGGATGTTTTTGTTTCTACTATTTACACATATACTATATAGCCTTACAGAGAAGCAAATATTCAATGCAGTCTTACAAAATTGAATACAGGTCATATAAAAATTCTCCTGTGCAAGAATTTTCTGTATATTTGGAAAGTGTATATTCTTCCTAAAAAGTATATTTGGTATAATTTAATTTGCTTCTTATAGTCTAAGAAGCTTCATCAACAGTAAAGGAAAATATCCATAATAAAAGAAAACATTTCTCCAACTAGAATTTAGTATAACTATAAAATTATACTAAGATTCTTTTTATACAGCACCGCCAAATACAAATGAATCCTATTTCACATACAATAGGATATTTTCTACCTCTTAATGTGGCAGAAAGCATATGGACAGATAATAACTGTTTGTATGACTTTGCTTATATGCTTAAACTACTTATTTACTGGGTTAAATCAGATCATTTAAAAATGTTAGAACTTTTAATGACAGTTGACCAGCTGAAAATGTCGATGCTTATCCATTAATGGATCCTAAATCCAGAGCATTAAATGTGTTCTCTAAGAGTGATCTTTCAGAACCTTGGTTGTCCTGAGATACCTGAAAGGCTTTTTATATTTTCCAAAGTACTTTGTTAGAAGTAATCTCTCATAGTTTACAGTATCAATCACAGATATCCCAATTAGATGCTAGGAAGAACTATATTGAAATCGCTAGCATTTATTTCTTCTTTCTGAATTAGAAGAGAGAAGATAGGAATCTAAATGCCCTTCTGTAACAATTTCTAAGCCAAAAAAATGCTCATGTATCCTATGATGGGTCTCTTCATATTGGGTATGAGTGATTTTAGTCTCAGAGAGGAATGGCTTTATAAAAATAGAAACATAATCAAAGATCATATTCACGAAAATATTTAGAAATTTAAATGATTTGCATATTTGTATCTAATTACCTATATACATGTTCAAAGATGTATATATTGATATGTATATCTTAACATAAACTCAGATAATTTCCTGCCATGAAATAGGAGGTATTCTATATATGCTTTGAGAATTTTTGTGTTTGTTTGCCTGTTTTATTTGTATACTGTACATATGCTTCCTATAAACCAACTAGAAATCTATTAGGATTCCTTGAAAGCATTTGATGAGCTACAATTGATTTTTTTGAGATACAGTATACTGGTCTCATTTCCCAGAGAGGTGGAAGTTCACCTGAGATAGGGTGAGGATAGAACATGATATGTAACAACAATAAAATATGCTCTACAAGAGATAGTTACATGCTATACAGAAGATATAACATGCCAAAGGCAAAATGGAATTAAAGTAGCATATATTCAATAATATCTTAGTGTAATACCTAAATAATTCTAGTGAGGAACGCAGTAATTTTTTTTTTTTTTTTTTGAGATGGAGTCTTGCTCTGTTGCCAGGCTGGAGTGCAGTGGTGCAATCTTAGCTCACTGCAACCTCTGCCTCCCAGGTTCAAGCAATTCTCCTGCCTCAGCATCCCGAGTACCTGGGACAACAGGCGTGTGCCATCATGCCCAGCTAATTTTTGTATTTTTAGTAGAGACAGGGTTTTGCCATTTTGGCCCAGATGGTCTTGATCTCTTAACCTCGTAATCCACCTGCCTCAGTTTCCCAAAGTTCTAGGATTACAAGCGTCAGCCACTGCGCCCAGCCAGCATTCTTAATTCTGTGATAAAACTGAGATGTGACTTATCATTGGAGGGAAGTGAACGATACCACTAAGCCTAACAGCACCAACAGAGACAGATACGTGAAAGTAAGCACATCAGCAGAGTGCCCAGGTTCATTTATAAAAACAAAGTGAACCTACCAAAAGCACTATAAAGATCTGTGAAAATATTTAAAACTAAGAATAGAAAAACCAGTCAGGTCAGAAACTGGGAAGTTGGGAAAAGATACAGAAACTTTGTGTGAGGTACATAGGGCGAGTAGTTCAGGATAAATGATGTGAACAAGGCAAGGAGGTTGAAGGCTTGTCTTTATTTATTCTTAGTTATGTACCACAGGGGCAAACTTAGGACCTGGAAGACAAATCTCAAAGGATCAGATCCAATACAAATCACATGGAAACAAATTATGCCTGTAAGTGTATATCCATGCAGAAGGCAAACAGCTGAGATCCCTCAACAAGGAACTACAGAGTAGCACTGAGACCTCAAGAAGCCTGACATTCTAGATAATAATGAGCAGTTATTACAACGAAATATTTTTCAAATGTTTTCTTTACCTTCCTTTCTCATTTCAGTACCCCACAGCAAGTGTGCCTACATTTGAAATATGCTAGGTTTGTCAATAAAGAGGATCTCACAGTCTTCTGAGAAAGATTTTGAGCCAAGAGAAGTGAAAAGTGAGCATTTGCCAATATCTTTCTTGCCTCGGGTTATCTCTGATATGAAGTTCTATGAGACATTTTACCCACATTTACAATGTAAGTTCTTAGGAAGATATACAGATATAGATATATGCAAATATATGCAGACACTGAAAGAAAGATCATTGTCATGCCGTGAAAAAATAACCAAACTTTTTTTTCCGAGGCACTGAATTCAATTTTCTAAGTGCCTGCATTTGGCATGGCACAAACTTTTAAAGCATTTTTGCATTGACTGGCTCACTTAATATAAAATAAGCTCTAGAAGACTCTAATTTCCACTATAAAAATCTGATTCAAGAAAGCCTCAAGTAGCCTTCTACTAATGTAATATCTGCAACCTCTCTGAGCTTCATAAATACATATTTTGTTTTCAGAGAGTTCCTTATCACCATAATTTTATAAAAATGTAGATAAAGTAGAGAGCTAATTCCCATAATAGCTATGGACACAAAATAAATACAAATGCATATCTATTCCAACAGATGCATTTGGAGATATATACAGATAAAAGGGCCAATATGTATATAAGCAAAAAGATCATTTCAGGGAAGATAAAGATAAAATATGAAGTTAGGCCTTGGTTAAAAAATTTAAGTTGGTGGGAAGTGAGTGGATAGAAAAACAAATTAGTGGCCAGTGAAGCAATCAAAGGACATTAGGATTTTTTAAAAAATTTAAATAATTAAACTAAATTATGCTATATAGTAACAATAACAGAATATGATATATACAATCTTTTTTCTTTAGAATTTAATAAATAAACCAATACAGGAGTACAGTCTTTTGTGAAAAATGTAATCAGAAGTAATATTGAGTGCATATATATTTAAGCATTTAGAATCACAGTATTTAAAAATTACATTAACTGATTCACTGTGTAGTGGGGGAGTGTGTGATTTAAGTAGTCAAAAAATAATCCTTACCTCATTGATCAAAAATTGGAGCTGTAGGACAGCTGCGCCACTTTCATGTTGGCAATAGCAATCAACACCAGGTCTCCCGAGTCTAATATAATAAAAGTCAAGGATTCTAACATTTAATTAGCACCAATATTAATGAGTAAAGAAACTAACTTATTTAGCATCAGATGTTTTGCTTTTTAGTTTCCCTTATTTTTATAAATAGTTGAAAAATCTTACTCTTAGTAGATGTAAGTTAAATTGTATAGCTCAGATGTTTAATACTCCAACAATTTGAAAAATAGAATGACAGTAAGGAATTTGAAAGACAGCAGCTTTTTCCATGAAGTTAAAAAAGAATTGGGAATCCAGATACACCTCATTTCATTTAAGATATTTTAATTGATTAAACACTTTTTTCACTAAAATAAATTCAAAATGAGTCAATAATTTGACATAATTAAATCATAAGATGAGTTTAAAAAGACACAGGTAAATATGTTGATAATCTTGACATATAAAAAATCTTCTAAGCATAATTTAAAACCCAGAAATCATAAAGAAATTGATTGACATAGTTGACTAAATAAAAGTATAAAATATCTACATAGAAAAACATGACAAATAAGGTAAAAAAACAAGAAAACTAGAAAATAAATAGTAACAAGTCATCTACACTATACTACATAACATATAGGGAAGAGATAGAGAGAAAAAAAGGAAGGAGGAGGAATGGAGGTTAAAAAAAGGAATGAGAAAACACCATATAACAAAATTTACTTACATATTCTATACCAAATGATCTGATACATATGTATATTTACTTATCATTTGTTTGCTTGCATAAAGATATAAATTAGATGAGAGTCTCCACTTATGGTCATAATGAGGAATGTGGGCCAGATCTACTCACTACCTAAAACAATTAAAAATCTTACCAAATTTATGTAACAAATTTTAAGACACTACACATCAGGTAGGAAATGACAATGATCCCCGAAAGAAAGAAAATATATAAGGCGAGGCTTATGATAGCCCCAGTTTACTGCCTAGAGAGAATTTCAAGACTCCAGCACAAGGAGGGGGAACCCAGATAAAATCTAGCAGGCCTACTGAGTAAGGAGACAGAACTAACAGTCTAGGGAGGCCAGGGACAACTAGAGTTCATAGGGTTGAGTAGCAAAGAAGAAAATGTGACACAAAAAAGAGCTCTAGAGATTTGCAGAAGGGTCCTCCTCAAATCTTTAGCTAAGTACTAATGAAGGAATAAGTTTGAGAAAACTACCTGAGACTGAGGAAAGAACAAACCAAGAAGAAAAAGCATACTTCTTGAAAAAGAAATCAAGAAAACAAACCGAAAGCAAAGTTTATATTGAGGCAAGAATTTTTCATGTTCCTACCAGCAAAAGTGCAAGCCCTCAGAATTCACATGCAAAGTACTCAGAGAATATTACCTCAGTATGAGGAAAAATTCCTCCCTAAGATAAAGACTGCTCTGGTTCTGCTTACCAATACTTAAAACCAGGTTACAAAAGGATCAAACTATTCCACATAACTTAACTGCATACTAAACAAAGATCAAGGATAATTATACAAATACAAAAAACTTTAGCACTCAAAAAGGTAAAATTCAAGAGTTATGCCATTCAATGCAGAGAACTAAAAAATATAACTTGTAACAAGGAGAAATATCAGTAGAAAGAGACCCAGAAATAAAACAGGATAGAAATAATAGACAGGGATAGTAAAACATTTATTATGCTACACTGCATATGTTGAAGAAGGTAGAGAGGAGATTGGGCATGTTAAGTAGATACACAGAAGATAGATCTATCTATCCATCCATCTACCTACCTAACTATCTCAAATAGAATATCTAGAGATTAAAAAAAAATACATTGAAGATTAGTGAACTTGAAAATAAGTCAAGAAAAACTATCCAAAATATAACACAGAGAAAAAAATAACTGAGGCATAGAGAAAGAACAGCACACCAATGAACTGCGGATCACTGTCAAATGGCCTAATAAGTTGTAATTTGAGTAATAAAAAAGAGAAAGAGGAGGGAGAGAAGAGATAAAATATTTTTTAAAATAATGACCAAAATTAAATTGTGTTCAAAAATGAAACTGAAATAAAGACACTTTTCAGACACACAAACCTGAAATAACTCATCCTGAAAAGACCTGCACTAAAAGGAATGTTAAAGAGGGTCTTCAGGCAAAAGGGAAATGATATCAAATAGTATCTGGATATACAAAAAGGAATAAAGAACATTTCAAATGATAAATATATGGGTAAATATAAAATATAAGTTATCTTTAAAAGATAATTTACTGTTTAAAGCAAAAATAATAATAGTACATTTGTGGTTTATAGCATATGTAGAAGTAAAATGATGTTAACAATATCACAAAAGCCAATAGTAGGAGAAATAGAAACTTTACTATTGTACCATTCATAAAGTAGTATAACATTAATTGAAGGTAAACTTTGATAAGGTACAGCTGTACACTATTAATATAAATCATAAGGCAATCACCAAGATTATTATAGCTAAATTAGCCAACAAAGGAGACAAAATGAAATCATTAAAAAGTTTAACAAAAATCAGGCAGAACATTGTTGGGGGAAACTAAGAACTAGCAAGATAAATAGAAAACAAAGAGCAAGATGGTAGGTTTATACCCAACCATACCAATACCACACTAAACGCAAACAGGGTAAACACCCCATTTAAAACGCAGTGATTGTCAGAGAAGACAAAAATGCAAGACCTAAGTATGTGCTTTGAACACAAACCTCCTTTAAATATATACAAATAGGTTAAAAGTTAAAACATGGAAAATTATACACCATGCTAACATTAATCAAGATACAGGTGGAAAGATATATTAATATACAGTAAAGTTGATTTCAGAACACAGAACATTACCAGGGTTAAAGGTGGTCACTTCATAATAATAAGTGGGTCAAATTATTTTTAAAAAACATAAAAATCCTAAATTATACACCTAATTACAGAGCTTAAAATACATGATACAAAAATGATAGAACCACAAAGAGAAACAGATGAATTCACAATTACAGTTGGAGTTTTTAACACCTCTTTCTCGATAACTAACATAAGACAAAATCAGTAAAAATTAAGAAGACATAAATAAAAGACTATCAACCAACTTGACCCAATTGGCATTTATAAAACACACAACCCGAAAAGAGCAGAATAAGTATATTTTTGAAGTATAAAAGAAACAATTACTAAGAGATAAAATATTTCGAACTATAAAACAAGCATAAAAACATTTGAAAGTATTGAAATCATAAAGAGTATAGTTTCTGACCATAATTGAATTAGAAATTAATAACATCCAGAAAACTCTCCAAATGTTTGAAAATTAAATTACAAACTACTAAATAAACATTGATTAAAAAAACCATAAGAGTAATTAGATAATAATTTAACACACTAATAAAAATATAACACACCAAAAGTGTGAGATGCAGCTAAAGCAGCACTTTGAGAAAAATTTACAGCCTTTGCTACCTATATTAGCAAAGAAAAATATCTTGAATTATGTAAGCTTTCATATTAAGAAGCTAGAAAAAGAAGAGCAAATTAATATCAAAACCAGAAAAAAAGGAGAACAATAATAAAGATGATCAGATAAATCAGTAAAATAGAAACAGATTAACGATTAAAAAAAGAGTGAAGCCAAAAGCTGGTTTGAAAAATTCAATGAAATTAATAAACCTTTAGCCAGAGTGATCAAGGTAAAAAGAAATAACACACATTTCCTTTATAAGGAAAGGAATATTACCAAAAAAACTTTAGAAATTAAAAAGACAACAAACAAATATTATTTACAAAATTATGCCAATAAATTTGACAATCTAAATGAAATGGACAAATTTCCAGAAAGACACACATTACCCAAGGAGAAGCAGGAAATTTAACAGCACTATACAAATTAATGAAACTAAACAAATTAATTCTAATTAAAATTATTTCCTCAAAGAAAACTCCAGGTCAAGATACCATTACTTATAAAATAAAATCTATGATACATTTAGAGGAAAAAATAATGCCAATTCTATAAAATTCCTGCAGAAAAATTGAGAGGAGGAAAGATTTTCTGACTCATTCTATAAAAATACTTTTACTCTAATACCACATCATGACAAACGATATCATAAAACAAGAAAACTTCAGACTAATATCTCTCATGAATATAGATTCAAAAAATACCAATCAAAAAAGTTGGCAAATTGAATACAACAACATATAAAAAGCCTATAGTGCTTCATAAGGCCAAGGCAGGAGGATCACTTGAGGCCAGGATTTCAAGACCAGCCTGGGCAACATAGCAAGACCCCATCTCTACAAAACTTTAAAAAATAATAAAATTAGCTGGGTTCAATGGCACATACCTGTGGTCCCAGATAATAAGGACAGTGCGGCAAGAAGATTAAGTCCAGGAGTTTAAGGTTATAGTGAGCTCTGATCACACCTCTGCACTCCCATCTGGATGACAGAGTAGAACCTTTCAAAAAAAAAAGAAAAAAAGAAAGAAAAAAAAAGCCACCAGGTGTGGTGGCTCACTCCTGGAATCCCAATACTTTGGGAAGCCAAAGCAGAATGATTGCTTGAAGCCAGGAGTTCAAGACCAGCCTGGCCAACATAGTGAGACCCCATCTCTACAAATAAGATTTTTGAAAAATTAGCTGTGCATGATGATGTATGCCTGTAGTCCCAGCTACTCAGCAGGCTTAGATGGGAGAATTGCTTGAACCCAGGAATTTGAGGCTTCAGTGAGCTATGACCATGCCACTGAACTCGAGTCTGGGTGACAGAGAAAGACCTCATCTCTAGAAAATATATATATTTTTAAAATGTTTAAAGAATTATATAATATAACCAGTGGGATTTACGCCAGGAATGCAATGTTGGTTGAACATTTTAAAAATCGATCAATGTAAGTCATCCTATCAACTGAAAACAAAACCAATCATTTTGATAGACACAGAAAAAACATTTGACAAAATTTAAGATGCTTTCATAATAAAATCTCCCAGCAAACTAGGAAAAGTGAACTTCCTCAATCT